CATTAGCACCTCTAGTAATATATTTGCTGAGAAAAATGTTAATGTGTTCAATACTTATTTTACCCGCTGTATATACTGTTGTCTGTACATGTCACTGACTAAATATGCACTACAACGCGCTCAACTTTTGTTCGGAATCAGCTTCTTATCACTGGTAATGACATGGCTTTCCTCATTTCCTCATTTCCCTCATTTCTGCAGCTTCACGGTGCTTTAAACAGTCGGACGCTGAGTGTCTACAGAGCTCATTAGTGATGCAAAGACTGCAGCCAAATGAAATGAGTCATTGGATAAATGCTGGCTTTGTCCCGCCCATCGGATGCTGAGCATCTCTGGGGTCTATGGGGCAGGGGGCTGGCTCAGACGCTCAGGTTCTGCATGATGATTGGATGATCTTGTCTAAGGCTGAATCCCTTTTTGATTGACAGCGAAATGAACCGGATTTTGGAGAAGCCATTAGATACAGTCTTGTTTACAAAGAAAAACTTAGAGCCAAACAGCAGGGATAGTCAACTCCTCAGATTAATTTGGTGCAAAAGGTGAGGAAAAGTAAGATAAAAAAAACATATTTATTGATCCCACAGTGGGGAAATAACAGGTCTTTTCAGCTGTCCTGGTATGACAAAGTGAGCTGGCTGCTGTAAAAGACTATAGAATAATCTGGAAAATGATTATAAAAGCATTGGATCAATTAATTCCTTTAAAAAAATCATCAAAGCAAATTTGTTAAAGGAATATGAAATTGTTTAATTTGTATTTGTATGGGTCACTGTTTGAGGAGTTGAATTTTTTAGGTTTGATTTATTATTTGGTTTATTGTTTGAAATTAATATTTTTTGTAAATAGGAGCAGATATCATGATATTTTCTTCTTCTGCTGCCTTTCATTTTATTTTATTTGTATTGTTGTATGTAATGTTTTGTTTTTAAAAATGAAATTAATAAACACTATAAACTAAACGTTTCTCGAAAAGGAACGGAGGGTAGAATTTATAACCCACACATTTTATGATGTAGGCCGAAACTGAGCTTCCTCTTGTTGAAAGACCAGCATCCACCACTGGCACAAACATAAACTCAACCATGACTTCTTCTACATCTTGTGGCATAAATTTAAAAAAATTAAAATCTGCAAAAGTATTTCTGTTTAAAAATTTTGGATAAAACAAGTGAGAAAACAGCCCTGTAGCTCCTCAGTTAAAACCCACATGCAGAGTTTAAACTAATGTTTTAAAGTTGGTCATTACAGGACTGAATAACTATTTTGATTTTTTTTAAATATACCAACATATTTTCACTCATCTCTGCTGCAGAACTTAACATTTTCATTTGATCTGAAATCAAAATCTACCTCAAAACTGGATTTCTTTTTGTTATCCTGTAGACGTATTAGACATTTGATGCTTCTGTTTTTTTCAGGATTTTTTTTTTCATGAAATATAACTTCTAACTGTGTGAGGCTTACTTTTTAACCTGTTTCTGTCTGTCTTATTAAGTGTGCTTAAATGCTGACCCATAGCTACAACAGACCGTCCGGCTTAATGTGATAACGTCTCACATTAAGCTTTAAACCAGGGGTTCCCAAACCTTTTCGGTCTGGGGACCCCTTGCAATGGCGAAAAAAATTCCAGTGACCCCCTCATAGCTGTTTTAAAAGATAATTTATTGTCATTTCAACCCCTAAATTCCATGGGAATATGTGACCCTTCATATCGACATGAGGATTAAATAAAATTTGGTCAAAATGATCTGATTACATTTTCAGATTCCTGGTTTTAAAGCTAAATTTTGATGCCTGGATCATTTTGATATCCTCAGCTTATCCAGAGATATGACTTAATGTGTCTTGTTGGTTATGATAAAACATTACTGTTTGGTCTGTATCCTAATTTTATGTTAATTTATTGAGTATTTTTGTGTTGATATAAGGAATAAATCTTATTATTTGTTTATTAAGATTTCCCAGTTAGAAAGAAACAAAATCATTGTTAGCTCACAGGGAAAAATTCAAAATCAGGTTTTTTGTTGCTACTGCTAAAAAAAATGCTTCAAAAATGTTTTAGGATCATATTTTAGACAGTTCATTCAAATGATTTATCGATAAGGCATTAATTCATTATATTTTGACAAAATGCAATTCTTACAAAGGGTTAAATCAAAACCCTATACCTGTATTTCTCCACATCCCACTTTTGGACTTAAACCTCATTTGGATGTGACGGATCACATTTTTATTTTAATTTAGTGTATTATGCTTGTTTTATTAGTTCATTGTTCTCCATGTATTTAAAAAAATCAAATTAACTATTTAGTGAAATTTTTTGAGGACCCCCAGGATACCTCTCACGGACCCCTGGGCGGTCCTGGGGCCCCAGTTYGAGAACCTCTGCTTTAGACTTTGTATAAACAGAACACTTAAAAATAGTTGCAAATTAACTTCATATAGTCATCATGCAGTAAACATATTCACCCTCCTTCACCCAGTGGAACTCTCCAAACGTTTCTTTTTAAAACTGGATGTGAAGGGGTTTRTGAACTGGTCTAAACGTCTAAATAAAACACTGCAGACACAAACAAAACCAGCATGAGGGACCACCACATGCTCATATCTGTTAGAGTTCAAGAGTTTGTTCAGGAAAGTGCATCCTTTCTGCGTAGGGACTGTATAAAGTTTCATTTCAGTTCATTTTGACCCCCACAATCATTNGGGAGGGCTTACTGGGGCCAGCGGGGGAGCTGACTCCCTGTGGAAGCATTTTGCTCCTTCAGCTTATTCTCCTCATCCCTCACCGCACACCTTCGTCCTCTTCACTTTCAACTTCACCCATGTAGGGTTTTTTTGGGGCACAGTTGTGTTATAAGAGCAACAATATTACATTTCTATTTGCCATAACCACCTGGGCCCCAAATTTTATTGTACATCTTAGACATTCACTCATAACATTTTCATGACATTCACATATGGGAACTCAAGGTGGGCACTCATGGCTATAGGTGGCCAGATGGCACCACTCTTGCCTCCTGTGCCGGTGCCCACCAACCAAGGTTTGCATATAGACACTTAGGGTTTTGGGTTAGAGTAGTGGTGGAGGGGAAACTGGCACCACACCGGCCTCTGCCTCTTCTTCTTTCCCTTTTTAATTGCTCAATAGAACAACATGCACCAACAGTACATCTGGGAGTGGGGGTGTGGGTGTCAGGGTCTTTATTCCCATCCCGTTCCCCGACTGCCATTTGGGGAGGAGGTCCTGAAGAAGGGCGGGCCGCCGGGTGCGGTCCTGGGCTGTGGGTGAGCTCGGGGCTTGGACGGTTGCCGGGGCTGGCTCTCCCTCCTCCCTGGTGCTGCTTGGTCTCCTGAGGTGTGGCTCTTGGTTCCTGTGGGTGGTCCCCTGGCCGGGGTGGCTGCCGGGTTCCAGGGGGTGGACGGCTGGGGGGGGGTGCACTTGGTCGTTGGCGGTTTGATGGGGTGGTCATGGGAGTGGCTTCTCTGCGGCGGGGGGGCT